TGCCATTGGCTGTGACGCTCTTTCCACAGTGGTCCTGGGTAAAGAATAACATTTAAAAATTATTTTTGTAGACATGATCAAGGTTATGTCTCATTTACTATTGCCAATTATCAGTACCTGGACTAGTGTGTATTCACAGTTTCCATTGAAGCTGAACCTTTTGTCGTCAAAGGTATTATAATGACCATCTCCATAAACAGCACAAGTGCCCAGACATTGATCTTTGGTGCATTCCCACTTCCTATTCTTGCATACACTAGGAATGAGAATAAAACATTTTAATAATAAAACAGCTCACTGTTTTGTGTGGAGGTATCCCAACAACTCAGTATTTGTTTGGCAACTCATCCCTGGTAAATGTTATATTGGTTGTGGAGTTAAAATAATCTTTTACATTTTTCATGTAAAAAATTATAGCGAGGTTCTGTTCTGCCTCTTTACATGCATTAACTGCAAAATAGGATACTACTTAATGAACACCATAGTCCCAATGATTTCCTCCCATTCTGTGCTTTGGTCATCTGCCTACATCAGAAGGAAACCTGCTCATACTGTTTAATCCAAAACTAAAAGATCCATCAATTGATGTAATGTGTAATCCAAATCTTTCCTTACTGCTGTACTACTTAAGATCTTTGGAAAAGCAAATGACAGAACCAGGAATGCTACTTCTGAGGAAATATTTACCAAGTGTTACAGTCAACGTTGATCTTTTCCCCAGGCTGATACACGGCTTCATTGTGAATACATGGACATTCTTCTTCAGGAACACAACCACCATTCCCATCTAACACAAGCCCAGCTGGGCACACACAGCCAGATATACATTGCGTGCTATACTGGAAAATCAAGAGGATGATATAATTTCAGAATGAAATCACAATAGAAAAAGGAATATTAAATTCTCATAAAATGTCTTTATGTGGTCTTATTGCTGCCCAGCTTAAATGGGAGAGGACTACAAAGTACTTGTAGGTCAATGGAACAAAAAGGAAGTTATTAGCCATTGATTTAATCGAATATAAATCTGTTAAAGATAAATGTTTTACTTATGCCAATCCTGATTGTTCTGCTGGAGTCTGTGAAATTTGAAACACATTAATCTTAAGTCTTTCTCTGTGTTAGCTGAAGAAACCTTGCACTTTGTAGCAGGTGATTAGTGATTGAATTGAACTTTAAAAAGAAAATAAGTAGTATTTTTTTAGTTTGGTTTAGTTACATTGAAATCAGTTTATCACATATGGTACTTATTCAAGAAATGACATATGGCTATCATGCACCTAGGTTGAGTAATATAATTAGATGTGTGAGAAATTCACAACTGCATCATGGTACGAGAAAGAATGATTTCTCCCAGTTGGTTTATAGCCAGTATTTTTCTCCTAAAGAAGGAGAATGTGGCAGTTGAGGACCTGGTTTGGTGGGCATGATGGTGTTGGGTTGATGGTTGGACTTGATGATCTTAAAGGTTTTTTCCAACGTTAAAGATTCTGTGATGCTGTGAAAATATGTGGCAGAGCCCTAGATATTTTCACTACTAATTACTGTTACCTGCAGTAGCTGAAGAAAGGTAGACACTAATCTTATGAATTTAATTGGATGTTACTTTATTATATTTTGGTCTAAGGGTCCCATTGTTAATGCTTCATGACATGGTTTGAGGCTTTTCCTACAAGAACAAAGTATCTGTGTTGCAGATTTAAAGTAGGTCAGATAGATAGTTCAATTACTTTAGCACCAAGAGCACAGATAAAACCTGGAAGCACCATTTCATCCAGCCATGGCATACTTACACACTGCATATCCAGAGTCTGGCAACTTTTTTGACATTCTGCTCCAGTTGTTCCTGCAGTGATGTTTCCACAGTCGAAGTAGAACATGGGAGATTCACAGACTAGAGGAAGGAAAGAAGTGAGAGCAGAAAGAGATGGCACAGGATATATCCCACAACTGGAGCCATTAAAACCATGTAGAAATTCTTTGGAAATTGCATATTTCAGTTAGTATGGATTTCTGTCCCTATTCAATCTGCTAAATAGATTCACTTCAGAGCACTGAATTCCCAGACACCCCCCCCAGAATTTAATAAAAAAATCTTTATTATAAAGAGGTCTTACCATTAATCTAGGTTCACTCCTGCCTTTTATGATAACTGTTGCACTATAACTAAATGAGAAATACTCCTATTATTTAAAAATCCATTAAGAAAAATAAATTCTATCAAATATTTCTGTCCAAAACCTGGCACAGAGAAAAAGAGAAGTGAAAAAGAGAAGATTTTTTTTTACCCGGAGCTGGATTGGGTGCTCCAATGCAATTCAGTCTTCCCTGGATGCAAGTGCTGTAAGAGAGGGAAAATTTTTTTTTCCTCTCAAACCATGTATTGAGACTGAGAGCTACTTTTTTTTTTGGACAAGTTTCAGAATTTTCAAAGGAATTCCAGAAGGATATTTTGCAGTCTTAGGAAAGAATTTCCCTCAACAGCACTACCAGTGCTGTTTTAATATGATATCCATTATTGCTTAACAGGAAAAATCACAGGTTGAAATGAGTGTATGTCTCTGTTACCTACTTTCTCATAAGATATCTCCTTGCTGGTGTTGTCATTATTTTATGCTTGTAAAAGCATGGAATTAAATAGAAAACACACCTAAATACAATTGCTGTGTCAATCTGGAAATATCACAGAATTATAGAATCACGTAGATTGCAAAGGATGCTTAAGATAATCGAGTCCAACTGTGAGCCTAACACTGCCAAGTCCATCACTAAACCATGTTGCTAAGCACCATATCTACACGTCTTTTAAATACCTCCAGGGATGGTGACTAGTCCCTCCGGGGTGGGTGCCTTACCCCCCCCCGGGCCAGCCTGTTCCAATGCTTGACAACCCTTTCAGTGAAGAAATCTTTCCTAATATCCAATGTAAACCTCCCCTGGTGCAATGTGAGGCTGTTTCCTCTCATCCTATCATTTGCTACTTGGGAGAAGAGACTGATACACACCTCACTACAACCTCCTTTCAGGTGGTTGTAGAGAGCGATAAGGTCTCCCCTCAGCCTCCTTTTCTCCAGACTTCTGGCTTGTATTCAGCCGGCTGTCGACAAACAGCCTGAGGTCCTTTTCGACTGGGCAGCTTTCCAGGCACTCTTCCCCAAGCCGGTAGTGTTGCATGCAGTTGTTGTGATCCAAGTGCAGGACCTCATACAGCTGGCCCCAGCCCATCAATCCAGCCTGTCTAGATCCCCCTGCAGAGCCTTCCTATGCTCCAGAAGATCAACACTCCCACCCAACTTGGTGTTATCTGCAAATTTACTGAGGGTGCACTCGACTCCCTCATCCAGATCATTGATAAAGATATTAAACAAAACTGGTTCCAATACTGAGCCCTGGGGAACACTGCTTGTGACCAGCCACCACCGTGACTTAACTTCGTTCACCACAGAGTTGACTCTATGGGCCCAGCCATTTAGCCATTTTTTTTATCCAGCAAAGAGTACGCCAATCCAAGCCATGAACATCCAGTTTCTCCAGTAGAATGCTGTGGGCAACTGTGTCAAAGACTTAAACTAAAGTTCAGGTAGACAACATCCACAGCATTTCCTCCATCCACTAAGCAGGTCACCTTGTCATAGGAGGAGATCATGTTGGTCAAGCCTTTCATAAACCCATGCGGACTAGGTCTGATCACCTGGTTGTCCTGCACATGCGCTGTGATGGCACTCACAATCATAGAATCATAGAATCTTTAGCTTGGAATGGATATTCAAAGGTCATTCAGACCAAGCCCTCTGCAGTGAGCAGGGACATCTTCAAATAGATCAGGATGCTCAGAGCCTCATCCAACCTGACCTTGAATGTTTCCAGGGATGGGGCATCTACCACCTCTCTGGGCAACCTGTGCCAGGGTTTCACTACCCACATGGTGAAAAATTTCTTCCTTGTATCTAGTCTAGATCTGCCCTCTTTTAGTTTAAAACCGTTACTCCTTGTCCTATCGCTACAGGCCCTGCTAAAAAGTCTGTCCACATCTTTCTTATAAGCCCCCTTTAAGTACTGGAAGGCTGCAGTAAGGTCTCCCTGGAGCCTTCTCTTCTCCAGGCTCAACAACCTCAACTCTGTCATCCTGTCCTCATAGGAGAGGTGTTCCATCCCTCTGAAACTTTTTGTGGCCCTCCTCTGGACCCTCTCCAAGAGGTCCATGTCTTTCCTGTGCTGAGGACTCCAAAGCTGGATGCAGTACTCCAGGTGAGGTCTCACCAGAGCGCAGCAGAGGAGCAGAATCACCTCCCTTGGTCTGCTGGCCATGCTTCCTTTAGTGCAGCCCTGGATACAGTTGGCCCTGTGGGAGGTGAGTGCACATTGCTGGCTCCTGTCCAGCTTTTCATCCACCAGTACCCCCAAGTCCTTCTCGGCAGGGCTGCTCTCAATCCTTTCATCCCCTAGCCTGTCCTGATAGCGGGGGTTGCCCTGAGCAGGTGCAGGACCCTGCACTTGGCCTTGTTGAAGTTCACAGAGGCCCATTCCTGGAGCTTGCCCAGGTCCCTCTGGATGGCATCCCATCCCTCAGGCATGTCAGCCACACCACTCAGGTTGGTGTCACCTGCAAACTTGCTGAGGGTGCACTCGATCCCACTGTCTGTCATTGATAAAGAGTACTGGTCCCAATATGGACCCCAGAGGGACACCACTTGTAACTGATCTCCAACTAGGCATTGAGCTGTTGACCACTACCCTCTGGATGGGACTATCTAACCAATTCCTCATCTACCCAACAGTCTACCCATCAAATCCATATCTCCCCAATTTAGAGAGAAGGATGTTGTGGGGGACCGTATCAAAGACCTTACAGAAGTCCAGATAGACGACATTGGTAACTCTGTCCTTGTCCACTGATGTGGTTAACCCCATCATAGAAGGCCACAAGGTTGGTCAGGTGGGACTTTCCCTTGGTGAAGCCATGCTGGCTGTCCTGAATCACCTCCCTGCCCTCCATGTGCCTTAGTATAGCTTCTATGAGGATCTGTTCCATGATCTTCCCAGACACAGAGGTGAGGCTGACAGATCGGTAGTTCCCAGGGTCCTCTTTGCTACCTTTCTTAAAGATGGGTGCAATGTTTCCCTTTTTCCAGTCTCCAGGGACTTCACCTGTCTGCCAGGACTTTTCAAATATCATGGAGAGTGGTTTGGCCACTACCTCAGCCAATTCCCTCAGGACTCTTGGGTGCATCTCATCGGGTTCCGTAGACTTGTGCATGTTCACGTTCCTCAGGTGGTCTCGAACCTGATCTTCTCTTACTGTGAGAAGGACTTTGCTCCTCCAGTCCTTGTCTTGCAGACCATCCCCTCGAGAGGTGTGGGGAGAGAGACTGACGGTGAAGAGTGAGGCAAAGAAGTCGTTGAGTACCTCAGCGTTCTCCTCACCTGTTGTTGCCAGTTTGCCAGTCTTGCTCATCAAGGAGGGTTCGCTTTCTTTGACCTTCCATTTCTTGGTGACATACCTGTAGAAGCCCTTCTTATTATTCTTTGCATCCCTTGCCAAGTTCAGCTCCAGCTGTGCCTTGACCCTCCTGACCTCATCCCTACACATCTGGGCAGCATCCCTGTACTCATCCCAGGGTACCTGTTGCTGCTTCCACTGCCTGTGCATCTCCTTCTTGCCCTTTAGTTTGCCCAGCAGGTCTCAAGTCAGCCATGCTGGTCTCTTGCCTCCCTTTTCTGATTTCTTACATGTGGGTATCAAGAGCTCTTGCTCTCTATGGAAAGCGTCCTTAAAGATCTGCCAGCTCTGTTCTGCTCCCTTGTCCCTGAGGTCCGTTTCCCAGGGGGTGCTATTGACTAACTCCCTGAAGTGCTGCTCCATAACGTTCGAGGACTGAGTTCAGACTGACAGGCCTGTAGCTCCCTAGATCCTCCTTCCAGCCCCTCTTGTAGATGTGCGTCACATTTGCTAACTTCCAGTCAACTGGGACCTCCCCAGTCAGCCAGGACTGCTGATAAATTATTGAAAGGGGCTTGGTGAGCACTTCTGCCAGCTTGGGGTAGATCCCACCTAGCCCCATAGACCTGTGTATATTTAAGTGGTGTAGCAGGTTGGTAACTGTTTGCCCTTGGATTATAGGGGCTTCATTCTTCTTCCCATCTCTGTCTTCCAGCTCAGGGCAATATGTACCATTCTTAAAAGTTGAAAATAAAGTTGAAAAAAATGAGAGAACATTGTATGGAAATTCAGGGAAGGAAGGGTGAGACCATTTTAAATGTAGCAGATTTTAATAAGAAAATACATATACTATTGCTTGAGTGTTTTGCAAAGCATTCACTTACCATACAAGCCCATTTTCATGGACAACTTCCCCAAATGGTATGGGAGATCCTCTGTAGTAGCAGGGGCATTCATTAGCAGGCACACATTTGCCACTCTCATCCATGTAGGTTCCATTTACGCAGGTGCAGCCATCAACTGGGACAAACTTAATATTGCATGTGACATCAGGCTCACTCAGAGACCGACAAGTGGGTTGACAGGAAGAGATGGTATAGCTGTAGCTTAGGGATTTGGGACATGAGGTGGTGTATTTTGCTAGAGAGAGGCAAATATAATAATATTTTTTTTAGTTCCAGATGGTAATTTCTGGTGGGGAAAAAAGAAACCATAGGCAGTAGAAATAACATGTAAACAATACTGTCCACCTCTGCCTGTGTTGCATCTTTCATGTAATTGTATTTCTGATATATACAGAGTTAGACCTGAAAAGCTACTGTACACATGGAATAAGTGATGTATGCAAAGAAGAAAATATTTTTTCAAATGAAATTTTGGAAAGGAACCCTCATTTGGTGCTGCCATTCATTGCCAAGACTTCTAAACCTTTTGAAGTATGAGACAAGATATCTCCCTGAATGTCTCCTGGTATTCTGAAAACACACCTACTGGATCAGTGAAACCTAGCACGCAGTTTCAGAGACCTTTCATTTGTAAGTGTTCTGGTTAGTATTACTAGTACTGTTATGCTAATATGCCACATTTTCTCTACAATAACTGATACATAAAGCTGCAATGAAGTTCAAAGTTGCACAGAAACAGGTGGTGGAACTTCCATAACAGCAGTCTCTTTCCTAAACAAGCTATATCTCTCATCTATTCATATTTGCTCTTGCTAGCAATGGATTGATTCTAAGAGAACAGCAGAGAATTATTGCCAGGAGTGCACTTAACAAAATCCTTTCCTCAACACTTCTGATATTTGTCTAGAAATCAGTATAAAATAGTCTCTGATCAGCAGTTTTTATTGATGTGTGTTCTTGGGATAGGGGATAGTTAAGAGTACTTACAACAGACGTCAGTCCTCCATCCATCCAGCTGGATTCCTTTTGCAGCACAAGCTCTCACATAGGAAGACAGGGCTGCACACAGACAGTCCTCACTATTTTCACAGTTACATGTGTCAAACATGCAGTTCTAAGAATGCAGAGAAAAATAAAGTCTCAGGACTGGTCAATTAAAAAAAAAATGAATGTTATCTTTCTGGTCTTATGCACTAGTCCTTCTTCAGATAAGCTCACTCATGGACAACACTAACATTAGCTTTCTCTCTTTCCAGTCTTTGTCTAAATTTCCTGGCAGGGGAGAATGAAGGTAACAGAAATTCAGTTGATGTCTGTAGTTGTTATTGGGAAATAGTGGTCTTAAAGTCTGTTATACGTTTAACAGATTCATGTTCCTCTGAACCATATTTACAAATATGATGCACAATGGCATACAAAGCTTTATTCGCAGTATGCAGTCTAGACATAATTTCACCAGTGTCCATACCTGGATGATACATAGTGAGAAGAAAGATTGGCAACCACTGAATGCAGAATGATGATGATTAGCTAATGGGCTTTCTGTGCCAAGTCATTATTAATGAGATACAAGGCTGATGAGACAACAACTCACGGATATTCAAACAAGCGTTCTACATGCCTTTAAATATGCTTCCTACTATATGTGTATATCCACCCAGGAGTAAATAGCTGCCTTTTCATTTGCAAGCAAGTCAGGAGCTTGAAATCAAGACTGACAATTGAAAGAAGGTAATGTTTCAACACAAACAGAAACACATGTTGAAAGAAGGAAGTGCTGCAGTACAGAAATGAAAATACAGGCATCGCGTAAAACAAGAGACATGTCTGGAACAGTCCTTTTCTGGTAGCTAGTTGTAATGATCCTATTTCTATTGTTTTTAAAGGGAAAATCAGTCTAACAAAGTACCATGTGGTAAACAGAGGGATTCACTGCATAGTGACAATCAGAAAAAGGTCCTTTGCTGTCAGTTAGTAGTCCACACCAATGCTGGGCATATTTCTCTGTGAAGAGAACAAACAATACAAACACACATTATTCTTTGCATTTCATTAGTCATAAAAACACACTGCCCTGGTCTATGAAGCGTAGTTCTGAAATTACATCAAACCTCTTCTTCTTCTGCCTTTTTTTCACTCTGCTTGTGTGCTATGGTTCCTAAAACCAGAGAAGAGGACATGCTGAAGGGGATGAATAAAAGATTTCCAAAGATATTCTGTCAATTCACTCCTCCGACACCAAGTTGTCAGCTGAAACATCCTCTCTGTTTTCAATGACCATACAGTTTCCTTCAGTTATGTTTCTATGACTCTTCCTTTACTTTGTTACTTATCCCTAATGCTTTCATTGTGAATATTTGTTCCTGATTCACATGTATATTTTTTACCAAGTATGTAAGTCTTTATTCTCTTATCTTTGCTTTCTGATGGATGTGTTTTCCTTAGGGATGACCAAAAAAAAAAAAAAAAAACCCTGGAAAAAATTCTAAGCAGCACTCACCATTATCAATGCTGAGTGCACAAGGGTTCTCAAAACTGCGCTGGATATTAGGGCATGAAGCCTGAGTTCTCCATGTATTAGCAAATGCTGTTGCTGTTCCTTCGATGATTCCACTTATGGCCTTGAAGTCATCAGTTTGGATATTATTGAAATTTCCACAGAGACCTGTTGAAAAGCAGTGAAAAGTTTATACTGCTCATACTAGTCAAAAGGCATCAAGCACGATGTTCTTGTGTTTCATTCACTTACCACAGGTCTGGTCTTTGAAAGTAGGATCCAGTCGCACAAACACTTGCATGAGGGGTATGATTTGGATTTCAAGGTGGACGCCAAAGTTTGTCTGCATGATGATGAAGAATGATGAAGGTCTGAACACAGTAACATTAGCTACAGGTGAAAAACAGAGTGAAAAATCACTTTCTGAATGAGGTTGAATGCTGGAAACAGTGCATCATTATATTATCCTTGAATTTCTATTGCACTTGTTGCAAATGCTGAGGTGAAATAAAGCCAATCCTTATGAAAATGATCAGAAATATAAATAAAAATTTACAGTTCAGAATTTACTTGTAGCTACCAAGTTGTTAACTTTATTTGCTGTCTCAACATTAAGCAGTTGGAGATTACTCCTTACAAGAGAAAAGAAGGAAAATAGTATGGCAGTAAGCATTAAAAAGAATACTTCTATTTCTGTTTCTAAGATTGTACAGCATACATTGGTGCCCTTGCTCTGATGGAGAGTGAAACTAAGCCAATCTGAAGGTCAGAGGTATCACATAGAATTATTAGTTATTGAGACAGAGAGCAAAAAATCAAATTTCTCTCTCAGGGGTGTGGTAAGTTAAAAAAAAAGTAGAAGAGGTAAACAGATGTCTTCTCTGTTCAACTTTGGGCAGTGAGAAGGAAGTAAACCTTACAGTGATCAAATCAGGAGACTGTAAATGCTGTTTGCTTCTGTTTGAACTCTTGCTTATGCTTGTACTGTCTCCCATTTCTCTATGACACCAAACTTCCCACTTCTACTTCAAAAGCACTTGTGTGACTCAGGAAATATCCCAAAGAGAACCGAGGTGTGAACATGCAGGTTCTGAACAACTCACAGTCCTTTATCTTCCATAGTTTAAGAAAACAAGCAGGTATGATGTTGAAGTTCTGAGCATATTGCTCACAGACTGTTATAGAAAAAAATACCTGCTGAGATGGGCAGCTGGGTGTAGATGGAGTTCACGAACACACCACCATCAGGTTTGACCTCGATGAGCTGACAAGGAAGAGGAACAAGAGGCAATTGTGTGAAGGATAACTATAGGCCAAAGGGTAATAATGGTGATAACTCCAGTGATACTAATTTAAAAGACATTAAACAGAAAGGGTATTTTTTTGTGATTTCACCTCTTCCCTCTTTCCACTTTGTACACTTTCCTAATTTTCCCTGCATAAAAGAATTATTTTTAAAGAGACTTTCTCAACTCCTTAGGGAATTACATCATCTCGATTTCTCTGAACACATCTTTGTGATTAATTACACCCCTTACTGTTGTACTTGTAGTTTCTAACCTAAAAGTTCATGTTTTTTCTGTCTAACTGGCTGAGTAAATAGCTTTTTTCTGCTTTGTGAGTACAATACTTTTGTTAATGAACTTCTACAAAACCAAATTTATAGCTGATCTGATTTTCATAACAGAATCAATTTCTTTTCACTTGATTAAAAATAACATGTACTTATCACATAGCTGACCATTTGAGAGAGAAATTCTGTTCCCTGACTGATTAAGGTCTAGCTTCATTGCTCCCCATATTTTTAATAGTTGTTTCCCATGTTTAGTTTTCATTCTTACAGTTTGTCCGTTATTCATGTTGAGGGTCACTGTCTTTAAGCATGTCTCAGTGTCTGTTAGGCCACATTTGCGTAGTTCTACTAGGATGGTGAATGTTTCGTCTTTACAGTGCTGAAAAAAAATGCCAACAGTTATTTCCTGAAAGGCTAATTACAAAAGCTTTCCCTGTAAAATTTTCTCTCAACTCTGAAAAAATATTTCTGTTTCTGGAGAAGATCCAGACTCTCCCAAATTCCAGGTCTTCTTTGGCCTCAGTTTTGCCTTTTATAATGATTAGGAACAACGAGAGTATTAGAATCTGGTTATCATTTTCATTGATGATATCCATATTTGGAGTTTTTATTCATGCCCACTTCTAATGTTTCATTCAATTATACTCACATTTCTGTAGCTGATATCAATGCGAGATAAAAAATTCAGATAAAACATTTTGCAGGAGAACAGTAACATACGCCTTTTTTTTTTTTTACTGAATTGTGCAGATGGGGGAAAAGGAAGGCAAAAAACAAACAGAAAAAGCCCCTAAGAGATCAAAACATTTCACTTGCACATTGCTGTAATTAAATAATTTTACAATTCACTTTTAATCTCTCAATTTCTTTTGACATTTTTAAAAATCTGTTTAAAAATGTCCAAAACCTAAATTAAATGTATCACTTCACTTGAACTTATTTTCTGTATTTGAACTTCCCAGAAATGAAATAAGAATAGTAGTCCTATAAATTCAAAATTTTTTTTCAGAACTGTTAGTGTAATTTTTCAGACTTGTACCATTTGGCCCAATACTATATAATAGTATTATATATATAGTGTACAGTAACATGGCAAAAATTATGCAAGTCAGTAAGAAAGCTGGATTAATCACACTGAAGAATGTAGACTAAGCAAGTTCTTAAAAAAGGCAATGTTCTTCAGCAATTACTACATCACAAAACTGGAAAGTTTCCTGTAAACACCATATATTGTTGCATGACATGCTAATAGTTAACCAATGATTGTAATTTGAATGGCAGCATATGTTCTAGTAAACATCTGGCTAAGTGTATATCAAAAGACGTTAAGTTTCAAAAGTGTTGATTGAGATCACCTTTTCTTTCTACAAATATATAAGGCTTTATGACTTAGTAATATCTGATTCCCACCTTAGAAAGGACGTAAGTGCAGTCTCCGTGGTGATCATAATGTTTTTTATCGTATGTGGAAATGTGTGAACCTCCCTCTACTGAACATGTTCCTGGGCATGACGTGTCTTGGCAACTCCACTGGCCTCCATTACAGGTACTGGAAGAGAGAGAGAATAAAGTTAGCTGAAATCAGTAACAGTGGTCCAGAGTAAAAGGAATTACAGTGACATTAGGTTCAGCTGTTTTGCTACTGTTTTCCCCTTTAAGCTGTAGTTTCACAAACAGCAAATCTAGGTTTAAGACTTTTCAAAACATCGTGAACATGTGTAAAAGGAATGACTCTGGTATGCATTCACCTCACTTATTGAATTTATTTCCTCCTTTGAAGAGGTGAAGTCTCCAGCAACAGGTATTGTATGAGTAATTACTTGTTTTTTGCAGCTAACATAAAGCACAATGATAAATTAAAATCTCTTCTGTTTTGTTATACAAATGTACCAGAAACTAACAGAAATGTAGCCCCACATCTACTCCTGATGCAGAGCATATCTGTTTTCTAAGGTGATGTGGTAGTGCACAGGTACAGGATTAATAATTGTGAAATCGAGGTTGTATTGTGTCATCCTTTGCTTTCTCCAGAGAAAATAAATATTTGCAAATGCATTAATGACTGCAACTTCATTCCTCTTAGAGAAGTCCAAATGTTTGAACAAAATAATTGAAGAGGAAGTGTTTTAATTGACTGGTGAGAAATCTAAACATTGTAAATCCTTGCTTTGATCACCTTGAGTTAGAGTTCAAAGCTAGTTAAGGCTGTTGCTAAATAAAACAAAGAATGTTCTTTAGGAATATCTTGGAACTATAGCGGTCAGTTAAATACACATATCAGCTACCAATGATGCAACTGCACATAATAAACCATTAAACTCATTAAATATGTGAGACAAAATAATAAGTTAGAAAAGGAACAAAGGTTACCAGGAATGGCACTGCTCTGAAAAAGAAGTTCCTGTAGTGTAGGTGTTGCCATTGTAAACACAGGAGCACTGCTGATGGGGAATGCAGCCAGAATTGTTGATATCATCAAATACAGTCCCTAGATTTAAAAAAAGACAAACCCTTGATCAATTAAAGAGGCATTAAGAACAATAGGACTAGGCCAATTTGCACAGTGAAGTATTCAGCCTTTGTATTCTTAAATTCCACTGCTTCGAAAGAGGGACTATTATAGCACAGGTGGTTTGTTGAGAGACTGGTCTTGTCCTGATCACTGTTCTGCTTTCCTGCTTTCTGAATATTGCACGTGTATTGGCAATTAATTCTGATATCTTTTGTCAGCTGAGGTGTGACAAATGCTTGTCACTTGCGGCTGTGAAAAATGCAAATATGGGAGGCTTAAACCCCATGGAACCTGCCCAAATCCTACAAGTAAGCTGCTGTTGTTCTTTGAGATCAGATATGTGAGTACATAAGAACTTGCCTGGGGGGCAGAAGCAGCCATCCATGCAGTGTTCTTCACAAAACTGAGATCGTTCAGGATTGGTGCATGTGTCAGCACAAGGGGAGCTGCACTCCTGGTACTGCATGTTGTAAGGACACTTCCTGGCTGAAATTTTAAAGAAGGAGACATGCTTTTTCAGTCAAAAGTATTTCTAGCTCATTATATATGAAAATATTTATGTTAATTTATGTTTTTCACCTACATGTAAACCCACAGTAAACTGCAGATCCACCACCAGCTCTCAAAATTTGCAAATTTAGTCACCTAGGTCAATATTTTACAGTTAAGATGTGCTTTCCATGGCTGTCTGGTGCTGAGCTGGCTCAATGACTGGATTTCTGGGCACAGCAAGGTAATGACCCCACAAAGTCAGCAAGGCTGTTATTGAAGGCACTCTTCTCATGAACACCTGTATTGCTCGTGAAATGTAAGACTCAATTTCCTAAAGCTTTAGTATAGTTGCATTTTTCAGATACCATTGGAAGGGCAAATAGTACCTCATGCAGCTTTGTTTTGGAGCAAATGTTGGTGACAGTGTCAGCAGCTACACCCCATAATCTACTATGGGTTTAATTCAGTGCAAATCTCTATGAAGATTACAGTGGTGCAAATTCCTCACTACCAAGCAAGAGGAGATAAATAAGTGCTTAATCAGCCAAACACCTATGAAGATCCAATCAGTTAATAATTGAGAATAAAAAATGTTGTAGCCACCATGAGAACTGGAGAGAAACAGGAATACAAGCAAGCAAGTACACTTTATTCTTTCTCCTTCTTTCTTCTTCTTTTTCTTTCTTTCTCCTTCTTTCTCCTTTATCTGCTTCCTTTACTGTCCCTGTTAATTAAGTAACACTTTGACTCTCAATTAGAGTATCCATGTAGATGTCTGATAGTATTTAATCCATTTGGCATTAAAATCCTGAGCTCTTGCTGAAGTCTTCATGCTGGAACTTGTACATCAGAACTCTCTGGAGAATACAATCTAGAATGGCCACTAATTTCTCACGCATCCTCAGCATCATTTGAGAGCTGCTTGTTTGTTAGTTACTGAGCATAAAGTAAGGCTATCTCCAATGATACTCACGGCACAATTTTGAGGTTCTCCAGTTCAGAGGATGCCCACCAGCATGAGCACACTGCCGGGAGTATTCACCAAAGGTGTCACAGATACATGAGGCATTTTTAGACTCTTCAGAGCGGCACAAGTCATCTTGGCAAGCCGTAATGTACTCCCTAACATCAACTAGGTCATTACACTCTGCAAATGCAGAGCTGGTCAATGTTTTCTGGCATATGTCATCCTTGGGAGAAAAAAAAAAATTAAACAACTTCCAGAAAATAGAGATGAGCAATTTTTTGGTATTGTTACTTTGTATAATAATTCTTTGATAGAATCTTATATCACTCATTAAGTTGCTGTCGCCTGAGGGCTTTTCCTGTTGACCCATCTGAAACTGTAGATGTGTACAGATAAATTTGAAAGAAAAAGAAAATAATAGTAAAAAGATCCTTACAAAATTATCAGTGCAATTATCTGGCAGGGTAGAAGTGGAGTCTTCACAATGTTCGGTTGGCCCATCCATTTTCTGTAGATTCCCAAACTGCAAGGCTGTCATTTTAATATCTGTGCAAAAGAAATTTAATAATGAAGGTTGTTTTTTTTGTTCAATGCAACTGTCTCTTATCTTTTTCTCCTCTCAAGGATTCTGCTCAAAACTGACCAAGGCAGCTAGTTCCCTTAAGTCCTTAAATTTGATCATCATCCCTTCCAAAGGAAGCACTACATCACTGTCTCCATTTACTTTGCATAGCACCGTGGAAAAAGTAAACATTAGAAAACAATTCTCAGCCTATTACACCTAGATACAAACTAAGATTTTTACCAGAAAAATAACAAGCTTTTTTCAGGTTATATTGAGCCTCTGCAGGGAAGAGAGAAAAGAATCTGAACAGGGATTTGGACAATGGTGACTGCTGTGAGACAAGATTTAGGAAAAAGCTCAGGCTGGGAATAGATAGAATGATGAAGATAAGATCTTATAAAGATTATGCAATCCAGCAGGCAAATGCGGATATACCAATTTTAAGACAGAACTGAAACAATAAATGTAGTGACTAGACAATATAATTGCCTTTTGTTTTATTAAATATATTTCTAAATTTATTTATGTTATTAGTGAAAATCTGTCTCATTTTTATGGGGTTAGATGATTAGGTAAATAAAACCATGGCATATAAGAAATATGTGATCAGTTGTTACCACCAGTACCATATTTCTACTTAAAGTATTAAATCACATTATCTGATCTCTGTACTACATATTTTTCAACAGAGATGGAATCATATCTTCTGGGTAAATCATTTAACAGGATAGGAAAAAGGAATGCTGATGATGTTAAAGGATACAAAAAAAGCATGTTGGAGCCTCCAAAACCCAATTTTTATTATTAAAAAAACTTACTGTTTGAATAGAACTCATTGTAAATTTGAAAGCCGTTGAAGTCCCCACAAAGTCCACAGGTCTGATTCGCATATTTCTCATTCAATTCCAACTAAAATGATGGACAATAAGTTGATAGAAGTTAGTATAATAATTCTAAAATATATTCAAGACCGATGAAAGCACCTGCACTTGCTGCCTCTAAGTATTTGTCATCAGATCTGTGTAATTTTATTTAGCAATCAAATTCAAACCTTGGGGACAGAATGAAGAGTTGGCTTGGATTTGATTTACAATGCAGAGTCCAAGCTATTGATGCTATTGATGTAGACTTAAGTTTCACTGTAACATCTATATTGCTTTCAGCCTCTTTCTCTCTATTCATTCTTCAGAAAGAAAATCAAATCCACAGCAAAAATGAAGTCCTAAGAGAATGAAATTCTGTTAGGAAATTGTATTTAGAGGGGTAAGTAGGCCCTGTAACAATGCCAATACGTTAATAATATAGTAAAAGTGATTTTTCATCCTATTTTAAGCAGACATGTGCTATCCAGTAGAAGTAAATCCATGTAATTTTAGGACTACCTGGATGCAAACTTATCTTTATTAAGAAAGAATTGTTCAATAGCATGAGATGGGAAGGCAATAATAACGCCCTAAACAAATAGGGACCGGCCTATTCAAAGGTTAGCTCTGGCCTCTGAAGGTGTAGACAGGTCCAGGAGCAGTTCTTACCAGTATACTGTCATCTTCATTCCACATTAACAGAATACCCATTTTGCTGGTAACTTTCACGTAAATGCTGCTTTTCTCTATCATAATTCCAGATTGGCTGTACGGCAGTTGAACCCTGAGAAAAAGCAGAAAGAATGCTAGGTATTTTCTGATTCAGATATTTGATGAAGAGGAAAAAAATGGCTTATGGTACCCAGCATCTGCAGGAAATCTAAAACAATGCAGTTGTGTGGAAATAAAAGCGATTAAAAAAAAAAGATGGTCCAACGTCATCAAATATGGATCTGAATTTGGATCCAATGTCTCAGGATTTTTCATTCAAGTTTTATTTTTGAGGTAATCTTTAAGGGAAGGATTGATCTACTGTGAAAGGAATTAATAGCAACTTATTCATTATTTATGTTGGTAAAATTGTCAGATTTATTGAAGAACTCAGAATTTTTCCCCCCAAATACACAAAAGTACTTGACAAGTTTGAAAAAAAGGTCTGTGCTTACCAAACAAGTGTTATGAATAAATGTACCTGTTGCTGTTGATCATCACAACATCCTTTGTCAGCTCAACAGCTACACCTTCAAGTTTCATGGTGATACGGTTGATTGTTGGAGCATTTTCTACCACTATGCGCCTAATCTGGATGTTGAAGTCCTCATAGGGAGCATTGCAATGAGATGCAAAAACATAATTGCAGAGCCCAGGGAAGGTGAATATGTCTCCATCAAAGGTCTTGAAGTGGAAGTTGCCCCATGTGCTGCACACACGGCCATTGTGAGCAGGATTTGAAGCTGTGAATTAAAACTAGCTGTAAAAAAATGACTTAAAATTCCCAGCTTTAACACGGTGAAAATCAGCTTGTCCAAGGCTTCATTTTGTCATTGAATAATTTCTGCCTGCCTACCTTCATTTGTTATTTTCCATCCATCTATCCATTATAAAACTGTGTATTCATTCTTCAGTCATATCTGTTACTCATCCTATATAACCCTATAAATGGTTGTAATGTTCAGCTAGAGCTTTATTAGTTGTCCACATTTCAACATTATATTTCTTAATCACCCTCTTTCTCTCTTAATAATTCACAACTTCCTTTACCAGTGCCTTTCCCCATTTGTATTAGATTCCTCTGTCTACATTCCCTAAAACTGAAAACTTACTGAATACATTTAATTTCCTTTACTTACGTGTTATTACTGGATTTGTCAGCATTGGCTGGATGATGTTCACCTTAGATGAAACTGTAGCAGAATCTATAAAACAGTAAGAAAGAAAACAAAAACTAGTATAACAATACCAAAATTTGCACCCAGTATTGATGTAGAAAGGACTAGAAAGTTAATATACAAGATCCAATGAAGCACTGTTAAACTTGTTTTATTTTACACAGGCTATGTATCAGGTTGAAAGTGTGTACTAAAATTCAAAATCAGGATAGTTAGATCATAAGAAATTGCTTTCAACTCTGATAATCTGCATTTTCTACCTTTTAATTTTGACCCTTTTATGAAAGCCCTTTTATGAAAGTCTGTGTTGTGTTAGGAGAGGCAGAAATTTACAGCTCTGCATATTGGAATGCTTCAGACACACTGAAAAATACAAAGGGTTAAGCTGTACTAAATTAGCCTGTTAATGCTACAAAAGCATAGTTGCCTTCTCATTACACCTCCTCTTTCTAAGGAGGGAATAAAAACTTTAATTATCCCCTTTACTGCCTGTTTAATATTTTTCTATTAAGGGGCTGAAAATCCTTAGAAATAATCACGAATTGGTTGTACAAGATGATCACAAATCATTGCATGGTAAAAATCAATGAAGTTGGGTTGCCATCTTGATTTCCCAACATCAGCTGCTGACTTTCAGTTTGCCAAAGTGGTCTCATTTCCTTGTTTATAAGGAACCAAACATCCTGCACGTACATTCCACTTTGATTTTATATATGCATTCATGCACATATGCATACAACATTTACAAATTATTATTATACAAATATAACCATACTGTATGTGTTTAGTAATTGGTATCTAATAAAGATATTACTATTCTTATATAGAGAGACATTTGTTAATACACATTTGTCTTTATTTGACATTCCTGGCAACATACTAAGGAGTTTTTTTAGGCATTTTTATTATTTAGTAGAGTTGTAACAAATAAATACAGATACACAGTATAAATGAACATACTGTTTTGTTTCTGCTGAACGTCCTCAGTGTATTTGCTTCCTGTTTCCTGTTGGATTTCAATGGATTTCTGGCCTCCTGTGAAGAAATTGTAAAAAGCATGTTAAGTACAATATCCTGTATCTGAACTTTTAAAGCAAAGTATTTTGATAGGATCAAAGGACACAGATGCATCGCTGTAAGACAAAGGGGAGTGTCCTTTATCACATCAGAAAAAATTAAACAGGACCCACAAAAAGGTAAAATGTAATTATAGAAAGAGATGTTCTGTTACAAATACACAGTCTGAAATCCAGATAACATTTCATGTATATCTGTTTTCTTTGTTTCCCTTAAAACTCACTACAAGGGATTCTAATGACTGGGTCACAGCCCTTATTTCACTGCTGCACTACATCTCACTAATATGTGAAAAAATTACAGGAAGAATTTACAAAATGTAAGAGAGTCGTTTATTAAAATTGCTGTGTAGTAGCTAGATAATAATAAGAAAAGACACAGAACTGGTTAAAACTGGTCTTGATCCAGTAATGGCTGCAGATCTTTATATGCCAGTTTCTGTAGTGCCTAAGCATAGGGCCTTTCCATCTGGAGTAAATCTAAAACCTCAATCCGGGATCTAGGTTTACCTTACAGCCAGATGTAAGAAGGTACCTCTGAGTGATAATACAAGGACCCATAGTAACCCAGGATACAAGGACCTGAGTAGTAACCCAGGAGAAGTAACCCAAAGAACCAGGTTTCCTGTTCTACCCCTCTTCTCACTCCGAGATGGTTCAAACTCACATCTTCTCTGCAGAAAACCTTAAACATCGCACTGTAAGTCTATTTGACCCAGGGTTCTTGCTACCCCACCTGAAGGTGAGACACGGTGCTGAAAACAGTGGGATAGTGAATAAGGAGGAAAAAATAGACCACTATCATATAACCACATGATTAGGGCACTCAGCTACATCAAAACCATCCTATTTTTGTGCCTTGCTTCAAGGATTATTTTTGTACCTCCAGTTAAATGGTTACTGGATCAACTACATGAACTGTCTTCCAGATGACTTCTCCTTCTCTCTATCATGACTCCATGTTTTTAATTCCTTTCAATGCATGGCCCAGCAATACCATACCAAAGCAGGTATTAGCAAAGACTTTTGAGAGATGACAAATATTGACCTGAGCATTTTAATGCCTAGAAAAAGATTGACCGTAAGTTCCTAGGTTGGTGCTCTGAGCAAAATATGGCAGGCATGTCCTGTAAAAGAAAAATTACCACAACTTTATTTTGTGAAGCACTGAATCCTGTCAGCATGTGATATCCGTGCTTAGAACATGTTGACTAACATATACCTATAACCTGCCAAGTCTAAATCCTCAAAGGATTTAGGTGATGAAATTACTAATATCTGAATCCTCATCAGGATTATGGGAATGAGTACACTAGGTGTCTAGAGAATTTCTCGGTCAACGAGGAACCTCCTATGTAATTTAGTCCTAAGTTAAGCCCCCTTTTTCTTTATACAACAGGTGGGAAGAGTTCACTGACTCAGAACTGGATGTGTAACACTCATCTCACTGAACAGGGAGCCACACTGGTGGAAGAGGGGGAAATGCTGAAGTGTGCCATAAACCCCAGTTCCCTTTGGTGCTTACATTCCTTGCTGAGCATTTCCTCCACTTAAGAACTTCAGGCCAGATAGCTTGATGAAAGCTGGACAACTGCTTTGGCCTTAAAAATAACTGGATCAGGAGCATCTTTATTTTTAAATTATTTTTCTAATGTAACTCCTGGCTGTGCCCACCATGTAAGCAGATTGAGTACTTGATCCCAGAGCTGAAGGATGCCTGTCTGAATGGATTCAAGCTCCCACTCCCAAATAGGTCCTCAAGAGACTGCTGGCTTTGGAGGAGGGGATTCTGGGCAGCCCCACCATATCTAGAAGTTGCTGCAGTGTCTGCAGTTTCTTTCAGACCTAAGCTTTTAATTCTTTTTTCATCTAACTTTATGTGTGACCACTAGTGATGTACAAAGAAGTAACTGAGGACAGATTTTAACCATTTTCCATTTCCTGTTAGTCTTTCAGTATCACAGATAATATCATTATTGCATTCTTATCATTATAATTGATACTGATCAGGTGAGAAAAAATGATGCTGATTAGGTGAGACAAATGTCTCTGTATGTCTTAATAGGCCAGACTTTGCTCTCACTCAACACATTTAGAGGAATCTCAGTAGGCATAGAATCATAGAATGTTTGTTTATTCTAGCATGAGAACCTGTGTAACAGAGCAAAATAGTATATATGTGTATTTTGGTCTGTTAATTTTTCTCGGGGAAAGAGCAGGGGCTTTTGTTTACTTAGCTAATACATCATTCCAAAGGAAATTCTAGCTGCCTTGGTTTATTTAGCAATCGCACAATGCCATGTTGTTGACCATTATAAAAATAAATGTCCCTCAGTTCTAAGAATAGTTAAGATACTTTACTATTTGATAATTTGGCAACTGACCTAAATATTAAGAATGTTTCTGGATGCACCCCGCTAGGTGTGCATCTTATCTATATAGAAGTCAGTATTTGACCCAAAATATAAAGTCAGGTATAGAATGGTTGTGGAGATGGCATGGGATTGTGCCAATATTCTTTAGTCACTCAGGACATCTGAAAATATTTTCCACAGAGTGTGATTTAAATAAAGAAGAGTTTGCTGGACACTGTCTAACCAATATTCATTTTTCAAAACAATTTATCAGATTAACATTGCACAGTGCAAATAACTTTCTTGTTCAATAGATGGCTGACGATGCTTTTCACTGACATTGCATAACTCTAAATGTAAGCTTTTACTCTAAGTGACTGTTGTATTTTGTGCTTAAATCAACTTGCAGTATTTTAGTGTTTCTTTCACAAACTGTAAAGTAGTCTAAAATTACATTTGTTCTTGTCAATATTTTGAAAATTTTATGCAAGGTAAATTCACATAGGCAATCTGAAGAGTTAAAAATTCTAGCTGACAGGACAGTAATTACTGTACATGAATGGGATTGACTTAGCAATGTCATGACTTGTAGTCATGCAAGTAATTTTAATTTGAGTGGTCCCATTGACTTAATAGGGCTACTCAGAGTAATAAAAACTGCCAAGATCAGCCCTGATGTATATAATATTTACAGGAAAAAACCCCCAGTATACAAAATGATGGATTGCATGTGTCAGATAAATCCACCATTCCTTCTCACACTCTCCTGCTCACACTCACTGTCAGTAATTTATATAAATATTTTGCATAGCGCATTATCAATGCACAATCAGTTACTGAAAATCATTGTCACATGAATATTCCCTTCTAGTCTCTTTTGCAAAAGAAGTTGCAAAAAATCTTGAGGAATCTGGTATTAGGTCCCGGTAGGTGACAAAATACTGGAAAAGATTGACCAGTGGTCTGATCTAGCAACTGGAAAATGTAGTGTTTTATATTTCATAAAAAACATAACATTTATAATCAATCCTAATGCAAAATACAACAGGGACAAAATGTTTTTGTAAGGCATAAGCAATACTGAAAACCTGACATTTTAAGACATGAATAATGGTTCTGTTTGATTTATCTTCAAGGCTAACATTCAAATATAGTTATTATGTAGGAGTTTGAGGCAATATTAAATTAAATCAGTCCAGTTAATAGACAGACATTAAATATTTAATGAAAATCGAAAAAAAAATAAAGAAATCTTTTTTAAACACAACCATCAGTTAAGTGAAACAAAATTAATATAGTTGTTTAAAACATATTATAGATCTAAAGAGTATTTTTTCTTTTCCCAATTAAAAAAGAGAACTTCTTACCTATCTGATGGATACAGCAAATTGCTAACAGGAAAGCCCATTCTGGTACCCATACCCCCCTGCCAAACCCCATCTTGAGCGGAGTCTGGCACAGGATGTTGGGTCTAAAGTCGGTTAGGAGGACTAGTTCACCTGTGCTCTGAAAGTCTTATATAGTAAGTGGCTTTGGCTTCAGTCCCAGATTGATTCAGAGAGTCTAGAAAGGTGGGGTTTGGGGGATTTTAGCAAATGAACAGGTAAACAGAGGATGCTCTTCCTTCCTCAGAAACTGGCCAATGGTATTTGCATTTTGGGAGGAGTATATTCATACACGTACGTATATGTTGTTAAGGTTCAGTCTAAGAAAGAAATGTAACCTGATTGCAAATAAAACACAACTCCTCCTCCACAAATAACAGGTCCTGGAACAAATTTGATTTGGGGTTTCTTTGCAGTTATGCAGATGACATGCAAGTAACTGTTCTAAATTTTTCAGTACCGTAACTGATACTAGGCAGCTCTTTGGTAAAAAACCCCGCTGATTTCTGAAGTCTGAGGGAGTGTGGAGTATTTCATATGTGGGGACTCAGCATTAGGAAGTCCCTCCATGCCTCTTGCGGCAGCTAATCTTCTTGTAAAACGAACAGATTAATAAACTTGAAGGGTCCTGCACTACCACACAGTCACACTGAGTATACGCCATGGAAAACCTTCTGTCTGGCACTGACAAGCACTAGGCAGCTACCTGAGGAACGTTAAGCCAGGTTCACCTAGACTGTATCCTACATTTGGTGGGCTTAAACCTTGAAATCTGCTTCTGAATTCTGCGCATAATTTGATTTTGTCTTCTCGTAGAAAATATCAGGAGTAATTTCAGACAGTCAGACAGCCTTACACCAACTTTGTAGGAGAAAAAAAAGTTAGATTGGTTATGGCCTGTGACCACGATCACATAATTTCAGTAGCATTCCTGTGTAATTCTGTTCACATCCATGGAGTTATGAGGGCTACAAATTAGAGAAACAGGCAATGAATCAGGCCTATAAGGCTTGCCAGCAAATGTTTAACATACATACTTTTTTATCTGAACACTGGCTTTTTGCAGTTCTACTGGATTATAATTTCAAAAGCACTAATTAATGTACACTTCAATAAACACAGACAGTATTGCTACTTCATGTCACTTTATCCTCCTTTTTTAGCTTGGCATCAGAGATAGGTAGGATGAGTTTCTCTGGGCAGATTTCTGTCTCTTTCCA